GGGCGAGAGATCCGTGGGCAGGCGCTTGTTGATGTGGAAGATCTTCTGGACGTTCCAGATCATGCGCTGCAGGTTGCAGGGCAGCACCACCTTGGAGTCGCCGTTGGGGAAAATTTGCCGCAGGCTTTCACGATCGCCGACCAGGCGATCCCACTCCGACTCCAGCTCCTGGATGGCTTCGCTGCTGTCGGTCATCTCCTTGATCACATCGTCCGTGAACACTTTGCGCATGTACCGCTCGTTGCTCCAGTCGAACTTGAAGCGCTTCTCGAACGCCTTGTTCGACAGCTTCACCGTGGGCATGTTCTGGAACTCCACCAGCTCGCCGCACAGGCCGTCCTCGCCGTAACGCAGCTGGATGAGCTGGCCCACCGAGTTACGCACCGTGCCGTCGTAGTTGACCATCACCGACTCCATAGCCTTGATGAGACGACGCTGAATGTAACCGGTTTCGGCTGTCTTCACAGCGGTATCAATCAGACCCTCACGACCGCCCATGGCGTGGAAATAGAACTCGGAGGGCGTCAGGCCGGCCAGATACGAGTTCTCCACGAAGCCACGCGACTCGGGACCGTAATCGTCCTTGATGAAGTGGGGCAGCGTGCGCTTGCGGAATCCGTAGGGGATTCGCTTACCCTCCACGTTCTGCTGGCCCACACAAGCAATAACCTGGGAACAGAAACAATCCAATCCAGTCGGTCAAAATTGAGGGGTCTCGAATGAATTGAAAAACTCTAGCTCACCTGTGAGATGTTAATGTTGGAACCCTTGGAACCGGACACCACCATGGCCTTCAGATTGTTGTACTCTGTGAGAGACTTCTTGGCCGAGCCACCAGTCTTGTCACGAGCATCGTTCAGGATACGGTTCACCTTGTTCTCGAACGTCTGACGCAGAGTGTTGCCCGGCGTGGGCTCGAGCTCCATGTTGTGGGCCTTCTGGATAACGTTTATCACGTCGTCCTTGGCCTTCTTGATGGCCTGCTGGATCTCGTTGTAGGTCTGCGGATCGGCAATGGTGTCACCAATACCGATGCTGTGACCCTCGAGCAGTAGCCAATTGTTGATCACGGTCTGAATGTTGCCGTAGAACCGACCGGCGATGTCGTGACCGAGTTCCAGGAAACAGATATGCAGCAGCGAACCGGCCGAAGTACCCAGCGTCTTCTTGCAGAGAATGCCCATGATGAGCTCGCCGTGCTCGACCATTACCTTGGTGTCGCCGGGCGAGATCCACTTGTAGGGTCCGTCGTCCTCCTCGTCCGGATGCGTGGAGTGCGTACGTATCATGTTCACGTTGCCGGGTATGATCAGAGAGAAGATCTGCTTGCCCGTCCACAGGGGACGCGGCTTGAGGATGCATGGCTGCGGCATTTTGCCGTCCCACGTGGGCAGGAACATGAGCAGATTCATCACCTGCTCGCGCGTGATGAACACATCGCGCTTGGTCATCTTGCGCACCGCCGTCAGTGTGTCCTGCACGATGCCCATGACGGGTTTGTTCGCCTGCGGCGTGATGATCTGCCTGGGCGTGATGTGGATGTTCTCCACCTCGGCGCGCGTCTCCATGGACTGCGGCACGTGCAGATTCATCTCGTCGCCGTCGAAATCGGCATTGTAGGGCGATGTGCAGGAGAGGTTCATGCGGAACGTCGACCAGGGCAACACCTTCACCCTGTGCCCCATCATACTCATCTTGTGGAGCGTCGGCTGTCGGTTGAAGATCACCAGATCGTCGTCGCGCAAATGCCGCTCCACCTTGTAGCCGCACTGCAGATGTAGGTCAGAGGATTTCGGATGGAAGCGAAGATCGATACGCTCGCCATTGTCGCGCACAATGTACTTGGCTCCCGGATACTGGGAGTTGCCTCTCCGCACCAGCTCCTGCATGCGATCGATGTTGAAGGGAGTGACCAGCTCGGGGAAGGTCAGATTCTGGGCAATGGATCGCGGCACACCGACCTGATCGATACGCAGATTTGGATCCGGGGTGATGACAGTACGGGCGGAGAAATCCACACGTTTGCCCATCAAGTTGCCACGAATCCTGCCCTCCTTGCCCTTGAGACGCGCCTTGATGGCTTTGAGTGGCTTTCCCGACTTCTGCATGGCCCTGGGCATTCCGGGCATGTCATTGTCCACCAGCGTGGCCACGTGGAACTGCAGCATCTTGATGTTCTCCTGAATCACGTGCGCCGCCGCTCCACTGGCCTCGTTCTTGCGCAGCTCGTTGTTCGCCTTGATGATGTCGGACAGCTTGTGGGTCAAATCGTCCTGATTCTTGGCCGCACCGAACATCACGACCGCCGGACGCACGGCCAAAGGTGGAACGGGCAGGACGGTGACGATCATCCAATCGGGACGAGCGTACTTGGGATCCATGCCCAGGATGAAGCACTCCTCGTCGGTGATGTGCTTGAGGATCTCCCAGACACGTTCCGCCGACACCACGATCTTCTTCTCCTGCGAATCCTCGTTGGGATGCTTCCACTCGGCGGTGAGATCCAGGCCCGTCCGCCGGATCGACGGCTGGTAGTGACCACAACCTCCGTGACCGGGCTTCTTGTTCGGGTCCGGCTGTTGGTTCTCCTTGGTCAGGTCCATGTCCTCGCCGCCCTCGCAAATCGTCTTGCCCTTGCACAGATCGTACACATAGGCCAGACGCTTTCGCGGCTGTCCCTTGGACTTCATCACGATTTCCTTGATCTTGGGATTGTGCGGCGAGACCAGCATCTTGGAGCAGTAGAAGCACACGCAGCGCAGGATCTTAATCGTCTTGGTGATGAAGCCGATGTGGAACACCGGTTTGGCCAGGTCGATGTGTCCAAAGTGGCCGGGGCATTCGGTCATGTTGCCGGCGCACGTCTGGCAGCGCGACGTCCTGTCGATGACGCCCTGGCGCGGATCCATCAGACCGCCCAGTTTGGGTCGACCACCCTCCATCGTCTCGGCGAACTGGACGCCGCCCTCGGTGACGGACATGCGGCGCTGCAAGCAGAAAGAGAGTTCCATGAGTCATTCAAGTTCGATATATAAAAGATATAAATAGGATCTTAACAGGATTTATTTCTTATATTTCTTCTTGGAGTTTCCTTTTCTTACCATTCCATTTATTTGTTTATTATCCTAAACATTTTTATTAATTTTATACAATCTCTTTGGTGGGTTATCTTGACTATTTTTTCAATGCTATATTATTACAATATTAATATATTATAAAAATATCGAAATACTATTGAATTTGAAATGACAGTTTCAAATGTAGGATACATACATTTCTAAAAAATGATTTTTTTTTAAATAAGCTCAGGCTTGCGAAAGATTTACAACGGAAAATTTGTGGAATTAATGATTTATCCGTTTTACCGTATAAAAAAATCTTTTTGCTGAATTTAAGAACCCGATAAGTGTTATTGCTTAATATAAAAAAGTAAACATCAAGACAAATTCGTTGTATTTTAACCCTAACAAAGTAATTAATACTTTTGGTAGAGGGATATTTATAGATTTCTAGTATTTATAAAAAAAAGGCAAGTATGTTGTTTTACTGAAGGAATAGGGAGTTTTAGTTTACCACAATGTCTGTTGATTATTATCTATGTAAACAATATTTTGTCAGGTTTTTGATAATTTTGATTAGTCAATAATGAGGCTCAACTTGTTGCATTTTGAACAAAAAAACTTATCTGTATATTTTATTTATGGAAAAACTATAGCTTAATGTCAAAATTATTAACATGAAATTCGCTGATCTTTACCAAATCTAACTTATTTTAAAAAATGATTATAGTGCTTTCTCTTTTGGCTATAATAATATAATAATAATGTAATATATTTGTTCAAATTTACTTATGAAGGACACCTAACTGAACAAGCAAGGTATTTTGCCGTCCAAGATCCATTACACTCTTAACAAAACAAATCAAACATCCTAAATATCCGAAATATTGAGGATATGTTCCCAACCCAGATCGATCCCCATAAATAATGGAACGCGTGCCCAACTCGATTGGGTTGGATTTAACCTCGCACAGAGGGCAACAAAACATGCGTATATTTAATAATATCCATTTATTTGCAAATATCCCCCCAATTAAATGCGTTTTGGGCGATTGCGAATTTTTATTCTCGTTAGCAATTTTTTTTTTCAATATGGCGTCGGACGGAGCTGCACTTACAATTTCATCAGGTGACAAAATACCGAACTGTACGCGCTTCACCTGGCGCAGGGGCGCCTTCGAGTCCGTGGTGGTGCTCATCCTGCTCGGCGGAAGTGGTGGCCACTAGCGCGGGGGAACTGTCGACGGCGACTGCGATTCCCAGAAAGTGGGGCTGCGCTGCTTTCTGTTTTTCTGCTGCGTCGTCACACTTTTCACCTCGTGCAATCGAACGAAAAAAAAAGGAACTGCCCGACGCGAATTTGCGGGAGCGTTGGCAAAAACAAAGCTGGGTAAACAATCACTGTTTGTTGCTGGCTCCCAGGCCTTGCATTCTACAACTTTCGTTCTCAACAGACGGTTGCGAGTGCGAATTACCCCTTTTTTCACGCGATGCGTTGTTAAAACGCGGACAACGCCGACCGATAAGTGTGACCGCAGCGTCGAAGTTCAAAAAGACCACGGAAGAACACGGTCACGCGACGTAGGTTGCCAGAATCTTAAATGGCTGTTTTTGGCTATAGCTAGATTTTCAGACAGGCACTTTCCTATTCAAAACAGACGCATTTGTCTCAGAGATTTTAAAAATAAATTACCATTTGCACCCTAAATTCAATGTTCACTGTAAATAATTAAAAAGAGCAGACTTATTATTTTATATGGCATTTAGGCTTCGAAATAAATTTACCAATGAAAAAACCAAAATTGGTTAAGTTCACTGAGCTAAAAATGGTAATGGAAATCGCACTTAAATGTGTCCAAAACAACACATAGCTTTTTTTTGAAAAACGAAATGTGGCAGCTCCGATTCTAGTGCTGAACAACGACAGCCGCAGCAGTGCTGTGAAACATCGGTCGGTCAAGTCAAGAGCGGTCAGGATCAGCTGTGCACTCTAGTTTGGGTAATTACGACAATACATCGCAGTAGCTGTGCAGCGCAGCAAATTCGTGCAACGATGAACGAGGCCGGCACCAACGCGGATGCAGTGGCGGCCGAGAAGGAGCGCAAGTTCCGCATCCAGGGTGGGTTGACCTCTCCCAACCGGCAGTTACTCTCCTGATCTGACTGGAGTACACCTTCTCCTCCGATTTACAGCCGGCGCCTTCCTGGGATTAGTGGGTGGCGTATCCGCTCTATTTGGATTCTCCCGGACGCTGGCCACCGCGAAGAAGGCGGACAGCAAGGTCCTCCAGCAGGCTGGAACCCGGCAAGGACTGATCCTGATGGACGAGGGAGCCACCCTGGCCCTGCGGGCACTGGGCTGGGGCACTCTGTACGCCGTTGTCGGCACCGGAGCCTTCTGCTACGGCTTCTGGAAGCTGTCCGGAGCCAAAGACGTGGGCACTGCTTTCCGTGTGCGACTAGAATTTGCAACTAATGCTCCCGTTTCTCTTGCAGTTCCAGGAGTTCCGTCTCAAGATGGGCAACGCTCTGCCAAGGATCACCAAGGACGAACCGCCTGCCAGCCGCACCGACTTCGAGAGCCTCACGGACCTCATGAAATACCTGGCCGCCTGGAACAAGGAATGAGCAGCTCATCAAACCACAACACAAACAATCTAAATTAAACCTTAAACCTAAGTAGACAGGAAAATAAACCAAAATGTTGTTAACTTACGTTTACACACAGGCAAATGTGTTCCTTTCAATATTTTTTATTGCTTTTAATTGTCAGTCTGGAGAGTGCAAGTTTTCTACTCGAATTAGTTTTTAGCGGCATAGAGATTTCTTTTGCAAGCAGTTTTAGTTCATTTATAAAGGTTCCCACAAATTCAGCTTTTCAGGGGGTAAAACAATGAAAGCCATTTCAGTTCCAAATTTCTAATAAGAATTTGATTTGTACAGTTTATTAATAGGTTTACCTATCACATTGAGTAATGGAGCTGGTTTTAAAAAATTTCTACAGCTTGAAATAGCTGCGTACTAAGCTAAAAGTCTATGATTTCAACAGTTTTGGGGTAGCCTTTCGTCATATGCTGGATACTGTCTAACTGGCTAGATTCTGGTGCGCAGCATTGTTGAACATGTTATTCTGGATGAACTGAGTGTGATCCTCTATGCTGTCCAGCAGCTCCATCATCTCCTCGTGCTTCGCCTGGAATCGTGTAGCGATATTAATGAAATCCAAAGAGCCCCGTACGAAGTTCTGCAAATTGGGGCCCTGATCGAGGTGACGCTGCTGCTCCTCGTTGGGCTTGAAGCTCATTGGCCGGTTGTCCTCGTCCAGTGTTGCCCGCATCACGAAGTCAAAGAACTTGTGCTGTTCCTTCTGGGCGCGCTCCTTGTACTTCTCCAACACCTCTTCATGTGTGTTATCACTAAGTGCAAGCGTATACTCTGATTCAATGTTGATGTTGAACAGAGTGCTGGCCTCGTATGGCCGCGGCTTCAGGGTGGTCTCCAGCTGGGCAGGCACGTCCTTGAGCTCAATGTCGGACAGGTCATCGCAGGAATCGGCACTCATGCTGGCCACGTTTTCCATTAGAGCCGACGAACAGACAGTTGTTACTTGGGTTTTATCTGCAATATTATTTTGCTCCATCGCGTCGCTTCTTAGTTTCAAATCTGTTTTCAGTGTTGTGAAGTGCCGCCGGGTGATCAACACTTATTCAGTGATGCGTCACCAATTTATAGCCAAAGGCAATTTGTATTCACAATACTATTTTAGTTTTCTTTTAAGCATATACTTTTATTAATTATTGTATAACTTGCATTTATTTTACGCTGTAGTCAAAAGTTGCAAGTTAAGATTGCAAGATATAGATTATTAAATAAGAAAATATTTTGTGTTGAATGTAATTTCTTCTTGAGTGTGGGGATAAAATCATGTTTAAAACTTCGTAAATTTTTTAATTAACTTTAAAACAATTCTAGTTTTTATTGTTTTTAAAATATAAAAAGTTAAGCAGGCATACCCTCACATTTCATATAAAAATTCACATAGCAAAATCATATTTCAAATTGAAAGCCAAGAGTACATAGATATATTTTAAGGAAATCCAAAATTTTAAAGTTTATTAAAATTAAAATTATGATTTTGGCGCACGTTGTATACCTGCTTTCCCTGCTAGTGGGCTGTTTGTATCCGGCATTCGCTTCCTACAAGATCCTTAACAGCCAGACGTCCTGCGATGTGGAGGTACTCCGCATGTGGCTGTCGTACTGGATCGTCTATGGAGTCTATGTGGGCGTCGATTATCTGACAGGAAGTCTGGGGACTCTCATTCCATTTCTAAACGAGATCAAGCTACTCTTCCTGTTCTGGCTGCTGCCCACAGTGGGTGGCGGCAGTCTGGTGATTTATGGGGAGATCCTGCGGCCCTTCTTCAGCAACAACGAGCTCTCCATCGACCAAGTGATAACCTGGTTGGTAACTCATGCCACTTTGACAGGAGGTCAATTAGTGGGTCAACTTTTCGCATTCCGCGGACAACGTCCAGCCCTCCAAATCACGCCCAGTATCGAGGATCTTGTGAACGACGTTATAGCCAAAAGACAGTTAAAGAAAAAAGGAAAACAGGGTGCAAACCTGTACGACACCATTAATGAAGTCCTGGGAGACAAGACTGATAGGGATAGGGATAGCACTTTGTCTGGTTTGGATTTACTAGGCGAATCGGAATCGGATCTGCTGGTCATAAAAAAGCACATTGCCATCCCCAAAGATAAGCCCCAAACTCCACCGAAGCCAAAGCGTCAGTCATCACTTTGCAACCAGGAAATGGATATCCTAGAAACACGTTTTAATTAGTATACAGTTTTATTATTTCGTTGAACATACAAAATAATTCATTTAGGTTTAACCCTGTTCGCAAATCATTAATATATTCCAACAATAAATTTAAAAGCACATAAAAGTCCTATTGTTTTGGGAATTACAAAATCTCTGTAAGTCTTGTGTTTGGTTGATCGCAGAGTTGAAATTTATACATTTAGTTAGTAAAACAAAAACAACCAAAATCAACAACTTGGCAAAGTAAGCTATTTTTTTTTCTAGCTTTTTTCCTGTGCAGCTCTATGGCAGCGGTCTGGCAACGCCCGTGGCAACAACTCAGCAACGACTCAAAAACAGCTGCATTTAACGCATAGCAATTCGTTTTGCGATTTGTGTCCTTTCTTTTATGAGATGATATGCCGACTCTGCCTGGAGGATGCTGAGCACGGGGTGCCCATTTTCGGCCAGGATGCCCAGTCAGCGGCGCAACCGGCGCTGCGCCAGCTGGCGGAGCTAATCGAGCGACATCTGCAGTTGGTGGTGAGTAGATTTAGCACCGGATTGCCTGTCCCACCCGGAAAAAAGCCCTTCTTGATCATCCACTACCCCCCAATAATACTCCCCAGTTGGCGGCCAACGATGCGGTGTCGACGTGCCTGTGTAACCGCTGCTGGCAGCAGCTGGCCGAGATCGAGCACTTCTGCTCCATGGTGGCGGACAAGCAGCGATCCCTGCACCGCTCGCTGCAGCTGAAGACGGAACTGCCGGAGCTGCCGGAACTGGCGGAGCCGGAGCCCGCCCTGGTCGTGTGGAACACGGAGTCCCCCATCGAGCCGAAGCTCAGCTACGAGGGCGACGACATCAAGGACCACATTCTGTGCGAACCGGTCATCGATGCCCTGTCCGCCGGCGATGAAAAGGACAGCGACTATGGCGACACCTTCGAGCCGGACTTTGAGCCAGGCGAGTTGCAGCCAGAGGACGAGCCGGTGCCGGATCCGGTGAAGCCACGCCCCAGAGGAAGGCCTCGAAAGACACCGTTGCAGCAGACGCATCAGATCATCAAGAGGAAGTACGAGAAGCGCAAGCAGCAGAACAAGGTTAAGATCACAGAGTTATCTTTGAGGGAATCGAGAGCCAGGTTAAGGGAGATAAAGCGCAGCAGCACAGGAGCGGAAGAGGACCAGGAAGAGGACGAGGACGAGGAAGAGGATGCAGAGGCAGAGGCAGAGGTAGAAGAAGCTCCAGATGCTCTAGATGACGAGCAGCCGAAGCCCCGTGGCAAACGCGGTCGACCCAAGACCAAGAAACTGGTCACTGCCGATGATAATGACGATCCCTCTGAGGCGCCCGTCAAGCGCAGCAGCATCAAGGAGATGGACGACTATATAGCCGCCAATGTTAAGCTAGACTGTGCCATTTGCACCGCTCCGCTGGAGGATTTCAACGATCTCAAGCGCCACTTTCGCGTGGAGCACGACTGTACCGGCTATGTGAAGTGCTGCAATAATCGGTACAAGAAGCGGACGCTGTACGTCGACCATCTGCACTGCCACAAGGATCCGCAGTACTTTAGCTGCCAGAGCTGCCGCAAGAACTTCCTCAACCGCAACAGCCAGGTGATGCACATGCTGCGCTTCCACTCGCAGCAGCAGGAGCTGGTCCACCAGTGCGCCATCTGCGAGGCGCGTTTCGCCAAGAAGTTCCTCCTGACCATGCATCTCAAGGGACACAAGGGCACCGAGCGGCCCGAGGTGTGCGACACCTGCGGCAAGACGTGAGTGGCGCTGGGCTGGTTGCCAATCCCCTAATGCTTTCCCCATCTCGCATTGCAGATTCCGCACCAAGTTCGAGTTGAGCGCCCATGTCAAGCGGATGCATGCGGCGGACTTTACGCCCATCATTTGCGACATTTGTGGGACGCACTTCAGGAGCAAGGCCAACTTCCTCATCCACAAGAAGGCGCTGCATCCGGACGGGCCCGTGGCGGAGGTGCAGTGTACCCTGTGCGGCCGCTGGCTGCGGGACGAGCGGAGCCTGCGCAAGCATCTGGCACGCCACGATGATCGCGACGGCGACACTAAGTACCGATGCCTGCTCTGCAACGCAGAGAAGTCATCCCGTGCCGCACTCAGCAGCCACATGCGGTACCATCACTCCGCCAAGCGGCACAAGTGCAGCCTCTGCGACAAGGAGTTCAAGCTGCCGCGGGCTCTAGCCGTGAGTTTACCCGTGCACCCCATCCTGATCGGACTAATCCCTGACTGTCTCTTCCAGGAACACATGGCCACCCACACGGGCATCGATCTGTATCAGTGCCAGTTCTGCACGCGCACCTTTAAGTCGCACGCCAACATGCACAACCACAAGAAGAAGATGCATCCAAACGACTGGGTAAGGAAGTATTCGCAGCCCAGCAGCAGCATCACCTCCACAGCAGTTCCAGTTGCTCCAACGCCAGGAGTCGCTGGTGCTACCGTGCCCGCTCCTTTGGCTGGACACATGCTGCCGCCGCTGGGCGGGATCAACAAGTCCCTGATCGAGATACCCGATACCGAGGGCTTCGACTTTGTCAGCAACAGCTCCGTGTGCCCAACGCCCGACTGAATCTGTGTGTGTGTGTACGTCTATCTCTGTGTACTTTGTGTATCCGTTCCCTGGCCGGGATTTATGTATAAAACCGTACAAATAAAACTGAGTAATTACTGTAGTGTTGCGTGGAAATCATCATGGTTCAGTTCATGGGTCCTCCTCCATCTCCTCGTCGGCCTCCTCCTCCTCGTTCTCCGTGAGAATGGTGCGGATCTTCATGAGGAGCTCCTTCTTCACGGCATCCGGAACCAGGGTGCGCGCCTTGGGTGTCACCTCCGTGATGAGCTGCTCCACGGTGAAGCTGTTGTTGGTGCCCTTCTCCAGCAGAATGGTGCGGCACATCAGGCGCACCTCGTCCCGCCAGCCGCACTCCGTCAGCCGGCTGCACAGCAGGTCCTTGATCTTCGAACGGTCCCCGGTCAGCACCGTGTATTGGTCCACTGCGGCGGAAACGGTCATTCTGGATGAGATTTGCTGGCAAATGGGTTTGGGATCTAATGCTACAAATTACTTCTCTAGGAGCGTAATCTTCTTCTTTTTCCTGGTCCTTGTCGATTCCGCTGCCACTCCTCTTCTTCCTCTTCTTCGTCCTCTGCTCTCTCTCTATCTGCCTCTTCCGATACGTCGCGTCTTTTCCTTTTTGTTTGTCCGGTTCGCGTTGTCCTGTGTTGTTGCTGTCAGTGCTGATAGTCCGGCTACTTTTCTAGCTACTTGTGCTGACAGAATTTTAGCTTCAGTTACAATTTATTACCATGAAGATGAATAATATTAATAGTAGTCAAATTTTTGGTAAGTACATTAACTTAAGCTAAGTAGAGTTATAGTTGTCATCTTATCTAACGACATTTTTAAAGTTAATGAAGCACTGCTTGGGAAATCTTATTACAAACTATTCATTAAGTTTCCCAGCACTACATTTTTAGTTTCCCCCGCTTTGGCATCTCTGTCACTTGACGTTGATTCTGCCCGCGATCTGGCAACTCCGCGGCGACGTCTTGTAAACCGAATTTGTCAAGCAATTGAGTAAATTAATTGGAGGTAGTTCCTGCAGCCCAAAAGCTATGATATGCCGTCTCTGCCTGGACGACGCGGAGCACAGCGTGCCGATCTTCGACCAGGAGGACACCACCGAGCAGCCGGTGCCCTCCAACCTGGCGGAACTGATTGAGAAGCACCTGCAGTTGGTGGTAAGCAAGTGTTGGAGTTCAATTTAGATTGTATTCCTTAGCATTCTGAGCATCCATATTCCCACAGCTCCTGCCCAACGATGCGGTGTCCAAGTGCCTGTGCACCCAGTGCTGGCAGCAGTTGGCCGACTTCGAACAGTTCTGCGCCATGGTGATGAAGAAGCAGCTGGGCCTGCAGCAGCTGAAGATCGAGCCCTTCTCGGAGGACGAGGATGCGGACACGAAGGCTCAGATCCTGTGCGAGCCGGAGATCGACGTGAGTCCCGGGGCGGCGGACAACGAGGAGTGCAACGAGATCGATGGCGATGCCAGCAGTGGCAGCAGCAGGAGCAGGAGCAGTAGTATCCGGGCCACCAGTCGACGGAGGATGCGTTTGCCCTCGCCCATCCGGCGTAGTATGCGTCCGCGCGCCGCCGCCGCAGCCCCCAAAACCCGGGTCGTTAAGGCCAAGGCCAAGACGAAGCGCCACCAGGAGCTGGCAGAGGCGGAGGTGGACGAGGATGAGGATGCCGAGGGTGATCCGGAAAGCCGGACCAGCAACAGCCGGGAAATGGACAGCTACATCGCTTTGCATGGCCGTCTGGAGTGCTGCATGTGCGGCGGCGACGATCAGTTCCAGAACTTTGCCGAGATGAAGCGCCATTTCCGGAATCAGCACCAATCCGCCGGCTATGTGGTCTGCTGTCAACGACGCTACAAGAAGCGGGCCCTCTACGTCGACCATCTGCGCATGCACAACGATCCTGACTACTTTAGGTACGTGCCCAGCCTGCGCACGAGCTTTTTATGCATAACCCCATACTAATGAACGAACTGCAGGTGCAAGATATGTTCCAAGCAGCTGGTCAGCCGGATTAGCTACGATGTACACATGCTGCGCTTCCACTCCAACGAGGACGAGCTGAGCTTCGCCTGCGATCAGTGCTCCAAGCGGTTCTCCAAGCAGTTTCTCCTCACCATCCACTCCAGGGTGCACCAGCAGGAGCGAAAGGAGCAGTGCAAGCACTGCGACAGATCGTAAGTTAGCAGAATGTGCCCTTAACCATATGGTTCGATTTTAAGACCTTACTTTGCTACAGCTTCCGTACCGCCGTGGACCTGCGACTGCACATGCGACGCACCCATGACCCCGCCTTTGTGCCCTTCATCTGCGACTCGTGCGGCGCCAAGTTCAAGACGAAGCAGAACCTGCTGGTGCACAAGCGCACCGTGCACCGCGAGGGCTCTCAGCTGCCGGAGGTGCAGTGCCAGGAGTGCCAGGTGTGGCTGTCGGACGAGAACAGCCTGCGCAAGCACATGTACATGCACCTGGATGCCGCCTCGCTGCGGCAGTGGAAGTGCGAGCAGTGCGGCCTGGAGAAGGGATCGCGGGCGAAGCTGGCGGCCCACATACGCTATCACCATCCCAAGGAGTACCACAAGTGCACGCACTGCGGCAAGGAGTTCAAGAGCAGCCGCGGCCTCGAAGAGCACACGGCCACGCACACCGGCCAGGATCTGTACGAGTGCGCCTTCTGCGAGCGCACCTTCAAGAACTCGGGCAACATGCACAAGCACCGCCGCCAGATGCACGCCGCCCAAGTGGCCGCCCTGCAGCAGCAGAAGAAGGTGCGGCCCAGTAAGCGCAAGGACAAGGGCGACTTGCTGCTCGACGTCCTTGCCGCCGGCGGAAAGGAACTGGACCACGCCCACGCCGTGGGAGTGGGCATAAACGACATGAACGACTGATCGATTATAAAAACTAAATAAACCTGCATTGGCAATGATATGCGAACTGCTGTCTTTTTATCTTGTTTTAAATCTTAAAATAGATCGCGTATTGCATTTGCTTACAAAACCAAAATACAAGTTTCTTAGCTTTAATTGTAAATATTGTGTATTACTAAGAATTCAGTAGATCTTATAAAAAAATAAATTTCAATTTTTGAAACTGAAACTAATGTTTATTCAAAAAAGGCGGGAGGAAAAAAGCAAGTTTTAAAATTCCCCCTATTTTTAAATTTTTCCCTGCATTCATGGGCATTTCCTTACATAAGCAAAATATAAATTAAGTTAGGATTTCGGAAAAAAATGGAAAACGAAAACAAAATTAAGGTCTGTTTTATTCATCTGTTATAAAAATATAAGTTATAATTTTTGTTAATGATTTAGTAAAATTTAGTCAAAACAGCGGGAGAAAAAGAATAAGTTCACAATTCCCGCTTTTTGTTCTTTTCCTCTGTATTCCATTCCCACTATATTCGGTATTTTATAGTCTAGACATATTTAGTGTGCCCAAAACCGCAACATATCGAAGGCTAGCATGGCTAGATGTAGCATCCCCGCTCTGGGCACATTAGCAGGCGTTTCTCAAGAGGTTCGGTTCGGAAGAAAGCGTTCTTTCCAATTTCTGTACACAATTTTGAGCTAGTTTTATTGTTTTATTAATTTCAAGACCTTCGTTAAACGAACTATAGTGATATTTATTTAGTAGGATTACGTAAATTAAATTTGACTTGGTTTTGGTCCAACACACACTCGCGCCCACATTTGTAACTCAGTTAATAATTTTCTGGTATACATACACACTGGTTACGCATTCAGTTTGGCTTATGCTTTTAGTTTTCCATTTTTTTGTACCAAGTAAAAAATTAAGACGAAAGGACATAAATTGGGGGCGTTTGAATAGTTATTTCAATGTGGTACAGTTTCCATTATCATGGTAAGTACTCCCATGCTGAGCAACGTATGTATATGTACCTACACTCAAATGGGTGACAAACAAAATGGTGGTGACCTATTTATAACTCACTTTCTTTTCTTTCCCGCTTTTCGTTTCAGTTTCAACCTAGCTCCGAGTGAGTGTGTTTCTTCCAGGATCTTTCTAGTTTCATTCGCAGGAATATTTTTCGTATTGTGTCGATGTTCTGTTACAAAACCTATGTTGTTTTTTGGACACGTTGCTCCTTCACAATCCTAATTATTTTCTCTCTTTTTTCTCTTCCGCTTAGGGTGTTTAGATGGCCATCTAAAGGGTAAAAACGTAAAAACAGTGTAACTTTTAGCTTTAGAGATCAGTTCGAAACCTACGCCTTCAAACTCGTTCGAACCGTTTTCCGAAGCAAAAACATAAATAGTACCGGTCGCTCCGGCGCAAAGATGAAACAATGATTTCCTTCTAATCGAAATGCTTACGTCTTACGCTCAGTAAGAGGAAAAAGATTATTGGAAAATCATAAAATAAGTGTTTTCATGGTTGACTCGTTTGTCAAGCTGTAAAACACAATGAAACACACAAATATTCATCTTAACGTTTTACAAGCCGTTAGTTTTGAAAGGCATGTAAAATGTTGCAAATTAAGCAAAATAAATAAATTGGTAACGTTTTACGCGCCTTAACCAGTCTAAAAAAAACACAAATTGTTAAATTTCGTATAACAGGTGAAATGTTATACGAAACTTAGCAATTGCTCAGAAAAAAAGATTTATTAAAAGCGAGATGGGTATAAGATGGCGATCTCTTTCTTATTCCTGATTCGAATAGAAAGAGAAGGCAGATCGTGCCGGATAGGAGAGGGATGGCTTGTCTTTTAACGACTCTATGTAAAAACATGTCAAACTATGAATAAATGCATTTTACTATAGAAATTTTACTGTTTTTTTTTTTTATTAATTTGTTTTTGACCACCATTTTGTTGGCGCCAATCTAACGGAAATTGATAGGCTTTTTGGGTTGGTCGCCATCTTGCTTATTAGGGTGACCAGTGGTACCAGACATTGTGGTTATGGTCTGTGTCCAAAAGTTGTTGACATCGTTTGAGTCCGTGCTAAACTTAATTTTGGTATATTTTTCAGCTTCATGAACGGTCACACGCCATTTCTCGAAATGAATGTTTCAAAATGCTCGTGTATTTAAATCGATTTTTAAGATTCAACGTCAACGCCACCCCCGCAAGGCTGCCATGCAAATGCAACTGAACTCGACGTCGGGTCGGCAACAATTAGTGATATGAGCTAGTGTTCTCACTCTGCCTAAAAAGTGCGTAAAAAGTCAACAAAAAGTCATAAGCTTTTTAAGTGTGTGTGTGTGTGCCAATACACACGTAACGTGTGTATGTGTATGGACCAGCTCATATAAGCAGTGCGCTAGTGTGTGTAATTGCCTTGAAAACAACATAATCTGTTTGTTAAGAAAAGAAAACAAGAAAAAGGGGGAAAATAACCATTGTGTACATAATATACGTGAACACACATGCACATACAGTTAACAGAGTTCAGGTGCCCTGTTATTTTGGCTTTTCGCTGTTAAATCAGCAGTTCGCCCCTGTTAAGTGGGCAACGCAGTGTGGCCATTTTGCCAAAAATACCGCCGCCAGTATGACCGCGCCAGCCAGGGCCAAGAGGCTCTCCTATTGTCATTAGAAAATCTCACATATGTCTTTTCTTTTCCATTCAATAAAAACAGCGTTAAAATAAGCAGTTAATTGCTAAATTTAGTGATAAGTGTGCAACTGGTGCAAAATTGGCAGTTGAACGTAACGGGCCACGACACGGGAACAACAACAAAAACAAGCGAATAAAAGGGCTGCGCAAAAACGTAAACAAAAGCAAGTAGAAAACGGGGCAAAGGAAAAGGCAATAGCAAAAGTCAAATCAAACCAAAGGAAAGCCAGAGGAAAACAAAGCCACGAAAGCGAAGAACAAAGAGAGGAGCTGCAAACAGAACGGAAGTGGATCGTCGAGAGGGAGAGGGGAGGCAGTGCGAAAGGGGAGCAGGAAGAGAGAACGCGCAGGAGAAGGAGAAGGAGCAGCAGAAACCGAAGCAGAAGCGCAAAACAGAAACAGAAAAATGGATTCGGACAATGACAATGATTTCTGCGATAATGTTGATTCGGGCAACGTTTCCTCGGGCGATGACGGAGATGACGACTTCGGCATGGAGGTGGACCCCCCAAGTTCCGCGGAGCGCCAGCTGGACCAAGACGACTACCAGTACAAGGTGCTCACCACCGACGAGATTGTGCAACACCAGCGGGAGATCATCGACGATGTCAATCTGCTGTTGAAGGTAAGGCGAACTGAATCGGAATCGGAAGAAATAGAGTACAAAAGAGTACAGTGAATACCTGCCGTGTTCAATGACAAAACCCAGTCTATTTTCCTTACCACGAACCTTCATAGTTTTGAGATTCTATCACAGTACAGTGAACACCAGCCCAAATCAGCATTCGGTGCAAAGCTTTAGAGTTCGGATTTAGCTCACTTTCCTTTCTTACTGTTACTCTTCAGAGTACACTCATCGCCCGCTAGCGTGAACGTTATCTTTATGAACCCCTTCATTGTGCTATAATATAGATTTCATTAAAAATATCATATAAAAAAGTGTTTAACAAAGAAGACTTATCAATTTACAATTTACACAAGCTTACTTTTTTTTAAGCTAAGGTTTCGTCTAAATAACATTGAAAATAGGAATTACCATAGGAATGTGGCAAAAATATCTATCTCCAAATTAATTTCCTAAAATAGTTGACCAAAATTCGACCTATCAGAGTGTATACTGTTCTGCACATAGTGCATTTGTGCATGTGTACCCGCGCATCTCGCGCCCCCTCCTCCCCCTCCTCCCCGTCTCCGCCCACCGCCCTGCCTGGGATCTGGGATAAGCTGAAGGTCGCCCGCTGATGGCTGCCAGTGCCAGTGAAATCGGAACACAAGCACCCAGGCAGGCGCACCCAAGGTCGCCCATCCACATCCACATCCACATCCGCTTTTGCAGCTGACTTGACCAAAGCTGACTACTGGTCGACCCCTTTCTTTCACTTTCACAGAATTCAAGGGATTTTCGGGGGAAACCCAGAATTCGAGTAATTCCTTCAACCACTGTGCTTGTGGTAAACAAAAGGTCAAGCTACTACCTTGAAGACATAAAGTGTGTCAAAACTTTTGTATTTTTTGATAAATGTTAGTAAATTCACCAAATTGAAAACAGCATTGAATTTGTTTTAATTTCTAGGGTGTTGATTCACTCTAATATTGATACATATGTATATATTTTGTAGCTAATTTTTAGCTAAACAAAACACTTAAAAAGTTCCTCTTTGTTATTTTAAACAATTTTCACACTTATTGCCATTTTTGATTTTCAATAAGTTGCGAAAATATGTATTCAAAATAAGGCACAGTTAATAGAAAATAAAAAAAAAAATTGTATGTTTACTTTTGATGCTGCTCTAAATTAAATGTTCAATAGCAAATTAATAATAGAATTGATTTGGTCATAAAACATTTTAAATATTCTGATTTGTGTTAGGCAAATTTGAAAATGATAGAAAAATCATTTTAATATATTAAACAAATGTAAACGATAAGCAGTGGTTAGGGTATTTCCCCACATCCGCAACCACATTCGCTGGTGGCTCACCCCAATGCAGCTTTAGCTGGTGATCGCTAATGATTTGGCATTGATTTCGAGGCCAACTGGGATGCAGCCCAGCCTCCGCATTTCCCCCTTTTTGCCAGACCCGACCCATTTATTGGACATCATCCATCCACTGACATTATTGGCTTTGTGTCGCGTCTCGCGTCTTATGTCCACAGCTCTCCACACCCATTGCGCGGATACTGCTGAATCACTTCAAGTGGGACAAGGAGAAGCTCTTGGAAAAGTACTTCGACGACAACACCGAGGAGTTCTTCAAATGCGCACACGTCATAAATCCTTTCAACAACGCCACCGAAGCGGTCAGACAAAAGGTGAGCTTAAGCTTAAGTGCTGGGGTTCCATTTTATGGTACCATCTAATGCATTTTCCTCCATTTCAGACCACAAGAAGTCAATGCGAGGAGTGCGAAATATGCTTTTCACTGCTTCCGTCAGATGTAAGTTGCCTTGCAGGAGAAATCATGCATGACCTAATTGTGGTTTACCACGAACGTTTCTGGGGAAGTATGGCCAACATTTCCGTGCCTGGCCAACAATGCCTTATCTGATAATAGCGCTCGGTCGCTGTTTGTTAGCTGCACAAATCTAAAATATTCTAAATGATTTCATTTGTATTATTTCAATTATTTTATTGGCAGACCTTATCGGATATTTTACTTGCTTGATTTATAATTTTTGATGGTTTCCATTTATTTAACATTTCCTGGCAGAATCTGGTTATGTCTAGTAAAATTAAGCAGCTCATGGTTATGTGTAGCTATGTCATAGTTTAGATTGGATAATTGACTTGTCGCCTGTCTGCTTAAAGTAAAATATGTAAATTCTAAGTTGCAATTCTTAGCAACTTTCACTTTTGACTGACTTTAAGGACTTACAATTGGGATGGTTTATTTATTACAAAACAACTAAAAATGTATAAAATAAATGTAAAATGTTTCCATATTTGTTAATTGCGTTACATGTTTTAATTTTTAGAGTTTAGTGATTTACAATTAACTGTTATCGTACACAAAGTTATCAAATTATCATTATAAAACATTTAATATTCTATGCTTATTCCATTTAGTCCATGACCGGACTGGAGTGCGGACACCGATTCTGCATGATCTGTTGGCGCGAGTATCTGACAACGAAGATCGTGACGGAGGGTCAGGGCCAGACAATTTCGTGCGCGGCGCACGGCTGTGATATCCTGGTGGACGATGTGACCGTCACCAAGCTGGTAGTGGAGGCGCGGGTGCGGGTCAAGTACCAGCAGCTGATCACCAATAGCTTTGTGGAGTGCAACCAGCTGCTGCGCTGGTGTCCGTCCGTCGACTGCACCTATGCGGTGAAGGTGCCGTATGCGGAGCCACGTCGCGTCCACTGCAAGTGCGGCCATGTCTTCTGCTTCGCCTGCGGCGAGAACTGGCACGATCCGGTCAAGTGCCGCTGGCTGAAGAAGTGGATCAAGAAGTGCGACGACGACTCGGAGACGTCCAACTGGATTGCGGCCAATACCAAAGAGTGTCCCAAGTGCAGCGTGACCATCGAGAAGGACGGCGGCTGCAATCACATGGTGTGCAAAAACCAGAACTGCAAGCACGAGTTCTGCTGGGTCTGTCTCGGTTCCTGGGAGCCGCACGGCTCCTCCTGGTACAACTGCAATCGCTTCGACGAGGACGAGGCCAAGACCGCCCGCGATGCACAGGAGAAGCTGCGCTCCGAGCTGGCCAGGTGGGTTCGTCGCTTATGATTGTTAGATGTGCAAAGTAGCAAAAGCTCCTAAATCAATGTTGTTAGTTTAGAAACTCTTTAACTGAAAGCAAAGTCAATCAAAACAATATTAAGTAACTTAACACATAGTTAATCAAATTTGTAAATTCTTAGAGTTTTTAAGATTAGTTAGATTTGATTTTAAATATTATAACTTAGTATTTTTTTTTAATTTTGTTATATATAATTATGGCCCTACGAAAATGAAACTCATAATGCGATTTACCTATGGATGTAGGTCGGGTGATCTGTATTTTAAGCAGCTCACTGA